CCATACGTATGAACCCACGTCTTCGTTTGATATCAGGGTGGCTGCAAACGTCACACATTTGCTGTGGTTGTCTATCCCGGTAAAAGGTACAAAAATCATATTATACCTACAGGTTATAACCATATAATCAACAGCACATATTAGCACATAGTGTCTGTATAATCCACAAGTGTCTTGTTTGATATTATGATGCACATATCATATTAGTGCGAGATTGTTTTTACCTGTTGGTGTGGTAGGTTGCGTCGAATGACATGACATCTCCAGAAGAACTGTAGTTTTGCCTCGATATCGGATCAGCCCAGAAAAGCCTTCGTAAGCAATGTTCGTCATCCACCTCATAGTGGAAATAGAAGGCTGAGTTATTTTCTTGCCGTTTATAAAACTTATCGACCACCAACTGAGCATCAGCGCCTACAATGAACGCAAGGAGTTCCCTCTTGAAATTCTTAAAATCGACATCAGTTGCACCAATAATCGAATACCCGCCAACCATCTCCTTGTACAGCTTGTGCGACTTTATGGGCCCGATATTGGCTTTAATACAACTAAGGACAAAATTTTGATGCGCGACGGACATGTTTCGATTGATCTTCAACCGCGATCTGCACTCATCAGGTATCATGGTGTGGTTATGTTTTTCCTCAAAAAACTTAACAACATATCCGTTACGTCCGTCGAATCGTATCATAATTCAGGCGTTGCATCCCACTCGGTTGGATACTCTACGTCTTCTTACACAATTTTCGTTTGGCCCCGGTTGGCCTGTGTTTGTGTGTTGTTTGTAGCCTTCACGTGAGCACACCAAGTACTTCCAAAGTATCGTTTTATCCCGTGCTTTAACCAACGTGTTGTGCCTAACGTCGAACCCTACGGTAGAAGCATACAGTTGGTAGAAGTCGACTGCTTCATTCAAAGCTTTAAATCGTTGTCCATTGTGAGGCTTCAGCGCGTCATCGCACTGGGGTATCCAATATTTAGTGCCCCCAGGTGATATCAAAAGTCGATGGTGTTGTGTTCTGTCCGTCGGGGCTTGTTCTGAAACATGACATGATAAAAATAAATCACCATTAAAGTGCACATTTATGTTGAAGAAAACGCATTATATAATATAAATTATGCACTCTCGACTACCTGGATCACATGTGTGATCCAAGATACTAAATTCAAGCAACTAATGACAAGAAGTTCATATCGTACCTGTTTGGGAGGCGTCCAACTCCATATGTTGCAACTGTATTTTTTTCAAATCACAGGGTGAAAGGTCAAATAATGCAATTTTTTGGTAGTCAGATTGGCTGGTCTTGATGCAACTTAGACCTCTAAAATCCACACATGATTACTGGTTGTAGATTGGAAGTAATATAATAATAATCGAATTACATTGCAGATTATGATTAATGTTCAACATACCTGATATGTGTATTGAGGTTGACAATAATGGATTATGGAGGTTGAATCTGAGTTTTATGATCGAACGAGCAGCACTCGCGGTAAAGGGACAGACGAACGAGCAGCACTAACGCAATCATTAAAAATCGAACTCCAATGCCTGTGTATTGATCGGAATCCTTGAAACAGATGAACAATTGCAAAATTCAGGTTGAATCTCCCATCGGAATTTTCGAATCCGCCGAGCTAGGGGTTTTTCCCTATTTAATTTTGATATTTTCCCCTAAGTTATGAAATCCCGCAGCTACGATGGCGCGTTATTGTTTTTCGGAATTACCATAGTGCCCTTCTAAGTTATTTGGCGTGAATATCCACCTGACCACATATGTCCGTCCGTTCCTATTGATCTTGTGGTCATGGTTTATTCTCATTTCTTGTGTTTAGCACCTTTCTCACCGGAGTGCACCTCTATATATATATATATATATGAAATCGCATTCATTAATAAATACCTAGTAGCCTAGTTGGTGAGAGTTCACTTTTATAACCCAATGGTCCTGAGTTCAATCCCAATATTGGAACTTTATTTTTTAAGTCAATATTTGACCGTAAGGGCATAATGGCAAATTCAATGATAAAGTAAGGGTATATTTGATGAAAATGTAATGTCATCAGTATTAAATTAATGGCATTAACATCAAATGGCGAGTACATACGCAGAGTTTAAATACAAGGGGGTCTGACGGAATTTTTGAAATACAAAGTGAAAACGCGCAGATTTCATATTATACAGGGGGATTTGGTGCAACTCTTTCTTCACCCAATAAAGTATAAAATAAATTAGACGATTAACTTGATAAAGTGTGAAATATTTATGACTTCAACTATGCGACAAACGCGAACATAATTGATTAAGTGCGACAAACTATGCGATAAGTTATGCGACGCACTAAAGATAATTGATAAAGTGCGAAACTATTGCGATCAAGTATGCAATAGATAGACGAACATAAATGATAAAGTGTGAAATAATTTTGCGATAATCTATGCGACAGACTAACAAAGATAATTTATGCGAAAAGCTATCAAATGGAAGATAATTGATAAGATGTGAAACAATTATACGATAAACTCTGCGACAAAAAAGAACATAATTGATATAGTGCAAAACAAATATGAGATAAAATATGAAAAAGACAGACGAAGATAATTGATGTGAAAAGCTATGCGACAGACATCGGAAGATAAATGATAAAGAACTATGATTGATTCTCATCAACTGGCAATGCACATTTAACGTCTAAGGCACAAAATAAGCTTGACATTTTGATTTCAGTACAGACAGACGAAGATAATTTATAAAGTGCAAAATATTTATGCGAAAGATATGCCAGACAGACGAAGATAATCGATAAAGTGCGGAATAGTTACGCGACAAACAAGCTAAGATAATTGATGCAAAAAGCTATGCGACAGACAAACAAAAATAATTGATAAAGTGTGGAATAGTTATGTGATAATCTATGCGACAAACAAACGATGATAATTGATAAATTTGATGATATTATGCAACAAACTACGCGACAACGCAAAGATAATTGATAAAACTATTATACAATAAATAATGCGACAAAAGACGAGATAATTTATAAAGTGCGAAGTATTTATACCATATGATAAGAAACACACAAGCAAAATTCATCGAGTGAAGTGTGAAACACTTTATGCGATAAAGCATGCAACCGACAGGCGAAGTTTGAGCAAGGATGAATTACGTATGCGATAAAGTATGCGACAAATAGACAAAAATCGTTTAGAAAGTGCGAAACAAATTATACAATAAAATATGCAACAAATAGACAAAGTTAACTGAGAAAGTGCGAATTACTTATGTGACAGACATGCGAAGTTCATTGAGCAAGGCGAAACAAATTATACCTACGTGGCATTTAACTTTCCAAAATTGATTCTTTTTATTAAGACAAAAACTGTTACATTTTATATTAGTCGAGTAGTAATTACATTTTCTTATTGTATCATATAATAGTTATTATTAGAATTAATGATTATATATTACACTAAATGATATATGAAAGTTACATAAACATAAAAAAATATATTGTAAAACTTTTGTTTAAGTTATTTATTCTCAAATATATTATAATTTTTATTTGATAAAGCAATTTTTTAAATAAATTAATTTATTTTGATGTCATAGTAAAATCTCTTAAAATCTCATAAGCAATTGTTATAGTAAATTTAATATTTTTCAGCAAATTAATTGGTCATGATCTCTAAAAGTTATAAATATTACATTTTATACAATCAAATAGTTACTACTAAATATTTTAACCATTGATCAACTTCTAAAGCATTATACTATCATCTAACTTATAATATTAATATTATATGTATCTAAATAGCTTATAATACTTTATTTATATCTGTGCAAATGGACAGAGTCGCATACTAGCTATATATAAGGGGATACTAGTACAACACACGTGTATTACACAGGTGCTTGTTAAAAAAATATTCTTGAATTTTAAAATTAATGAAAAAAATATTTTAAATTTATTTACTTTTTTTTTACGAAAAATATAATATATTTTAGAATGACACTTGTTACTTGTGCGACTTACATGTGTTATTTTATTATTGTTATAAAGATAAATATAATTTTTTTTTTATATATATACAATATGGATGTTAAATGAAGTTCATCAAGAGGTGATTAATTTGATATATTATATATGTAAAACTGATAAAAATAAAAAATGTTATTAACTTTTAAACTACATTTACAATTCATGGTTATAATAAGAAATGAAATCAAAATGCAATCAATACATGTAACATGACCATAAATAATCAACATATTTATGGATAATTCGGACCTAATTATTTTTGGACTGAAAATAAATTAAAATCTACCCAAGCCTAATAACGAAGCATGTAATTTTGACACCTAGGATCCAGAAGCATGCGAGCCTGCCACTTAGTCTCACCACGTTCAGGATTAATATGTAGGGGAGAGGTTGAATGTTAAATTTAAATTAATTTTAAGTTAAATTTGGAAAAACTACACCTAGCGCACTTAACTATAGGGTTTTTTTGCACTTTACCCACTCAACTTCTTTTCGTGACACTTTTCCCATGTAACTTTGCAAAAAATTGCACTTAACCAATTTCCGGTCACTATCAGGAATTTCTAAGGGCAAAACTGACTTTTAGATCATTCATGAAGTTAATTGACATTGAAAAATTTACACTGTACCCACTCATCTATATGTTTCTTTGCACTTTACTCACTAAACTTTTTTTTTTTTATTTACACTTTGCCCTTAGAAATGGCCGTACGATGACTGAAAATTGGTTAAGTGCAATTATTTAGAATGTTATATAGGCTAAGTGTCACGAAAAAAAGTTGAGTGGGCAAAGTGAAAAAAAGGTATAGTTAAGTAGGTTAAGTGTAGTTTTTCCTAAAAAAATTATAATGGATAATATGTATACTAGTTATCCTGTTCCTCCTAAAACACAGCTGCTCAGCTGTTCTTTCTTGCTCCATTTTGGTTCATCGCTCAACAAAACTCAACAATCAGTATTTTATGGCGTTTGCCTCCGTATTTTCCACAACAATTCACAACTTCAAACCACTCTCCTCTGCCCGCCCCAACACGAATCCAAACCAGCAACGTTACTCCACTAAGAGCACGAAAACCCGGACGCTAAAAGCCCGAAAATATCCACCTCCGCCGCCGCCGCTCCTCTCCTCCACCGATGCCGGCGGAGACGCCACCACCTTCACCCGTCTTCCCCCGAAAGATGATTTCAGCCCTGATAGTCCAGCTTCACAGTCACTCGCTGAGGTAATCAAACTCTCTCAATCTACACCCGCAGCCGTTAAACCTAACAATTTTGACAAAGAGCGCGTCAGGCGCTCTGTTCATGATGGTAACGAGGTGAATGATGAATTTAACGATTGGGATGAGGAAAACGGCGAGAAACTGCAGGTTGATTATGGAAAATTCGAACTGTACGAAATTGGGTCCGACGAAGAAGAAGAAGATGGTGTTGACGATGAATTTGACGAAGAAGAAGAAGAACAGGGTTTAATCACATCAGGAACCCAAGAGGAGGAAATCAAAGAGAAAGAGAAAGGACTGCCGGCGGTCATGAGATGTTTCGACAGGGCAAAAATATACGTGAAAGCTGGGGACGGCGGGAATGGGGTGGTGGCCTTCAGGAGGGAGAAATTCGTGCCACTTGGGGGCCCATCTGGAGGGGACGGGGGCAGGGGAGGGAATGTTTACGTGGAGGTGGACGGAACCATGAACTCACTGCTTCCTTTCAGGAAGAGAGTTCATTTCCGGGCGGGCAGGGGGACACACGGGCAGGGCCAGCAGAAAAATGGATCCAAGGGTGAGGATGTGATTGTCCGGGTCCCGCCTGGGACTGTCGTGAAGGAGGCTGGTGGAGAGAATGTGTTCTTCGAGCTGCTGAACAGTGGCCACAGGGCGCTCCTGCTGCCGGGAGGGAAAGGGGGCAGGGGCAACGCGTCTTTTAAGACTGGGACCAACAAGGTGCCCAAGATTGCCGAGAATGGAGAGGAAGGACCCGAGATGTAAGTTTGTTCTTGTAAGCTGTTTGGGTGGCCTTTTCTGTTGTTTTGCTTGTTGTTCTATGGATAAAAACAGTTTGTGGTGAATTAATGCTTTCGACTTGTTTGTGTTTGCCTCTTGAAAAGTCACTAGTTTTAAAAAATGAATTAAATTGAGCCTTTTTTCTTCTTCTGGTTTTATAGCAGGTTCGTACATTGAGCTAATTATGTCGTTATACATTTGTTATTCCTCAAGCTGGATCTAGTTTACGAATTTTTCTTCGTTGTTGTTTTCAAAGCAATATATTACTAGCAAATATGCCTTCTCTACATGTGCAGCATGTTTTTTGAAATAAATGGTCTTTTGATTTCTAAAATTAGTTCTTGGTTTTAGATTTATGTTGTGTTTGTTGCTCTTGCTTTCCAGCACCGTAGCAATGTTAACCACCACATCTGAGTTTAGTTTAGGTTTAGAGTCTCTTTGTTTAGGTTACTCATCACAACATATCACGTCTTCATCAGGTGGCTGGAGTTGGAGCTGAAGTTGGTGGCTGATGTGGGGATTGTTGGGGCTCCGAATGCTGGGAAAAGCACATTTCTGAGTGTCATAAGTGCTGCTCAGCCAGCCATTGCAAATTACCCCTTTACGACATTGCTTCCGAATCTTGGTGTTGTCTCATTTGATTATGATGCGACAATTGTAGTTGCAGATCTGCCCGGGCTTCTCGAAGGCGCTCATCGGGGTTTTGGGTTAGGCCATGAGTTCCTTCGACACAGTGAGAGGTGTTCTGTTCTGGTACAGTTGTTGATTTTTGTTACTGCTTTGATGATCTAATATTTTGTTTTTCATTTTTTTTCTGTTCATGATGTTGTTTTATGATTTGTTTACATTATTATGTAGTTGTGCTTTCTTTTGGTGCATGCAATCATATGATTCTGAATCATTAGTTGCAACTTTGGTCGGGTTGGCAGGCATATGACCGTTGGTACTTTTAGTGGTGTTTTATTGGGTTTAATGGGTGTCATGACCTTTTATACGTGTTGTCGTTTAGTAGCCACATGGTTAATTTAGTTGCACATGCAGATGGTTAATTACAAAAACTATCCTAGAGTTGTACTCTAGCTTCCCCCTAGTCCCAGCTATCTTTTGGATTACGAAGAGTCGTTTGACATTTGTTTCAACTTTATGAATTGGATTGAAAATTTTGGAGATACATTTTGATATTATGCCAAGGGGTGTTTGTAATACCTAAAGGAGTGTTTCTACTTTGCGAGATAATTTAGTTTTACTATTTATTTCGTCGTGGTGTTTATCAAATCAAATATAACATCTCCTTATGTTGTTCCTGGCCGCCAGGGCAATGTGCTTTCATTTTTGGTACGGATTACTTTAGCAAAAAATAGTGTATTAAAAGAAATGTATTCGTTTGAACTAATACTGAAACTCTCAACCTGGAAATTAGGTACATATAGTTGATGGTTCGTCACCACAACCTGAGTATGAGTTTGATGCTGTTCGCCTTGAGCTGGAGATGTTTAGCCCCGAACTTGCTGAAAAGCCTTATATAGTCGTGTATAACAAAATGGATCTACCTGAGGCATCAGAAAACTGGCCATCATTCAAGGAAATGCTGAAAGCACGTGGTATTGAGCCTTTCTGTATGAGTGCAGTCACTAAAAATGGCACACAGGACGTTATAAATTCGGCTTATGAGCTTGTCCCTAAAAACGCAGCGAATAAAGATCAAGGTCAGTTATTGGTGTACAGTTCTCTTGGTAAAATATTTGTGTAGTACTCATGTCTGTTCCTATAAGAGTTTGTTTGGTAATGTATCTGAAAGCTAGCTGAAAGATGAAAAGCTAGTAGTTGAAAGCTAATGAAATGAGATGCTATGTGAGAAAGCTTTTCAATGTAAAAGCTTTTATTAAACTGTAAGCTATTGCACCATGCTAAATACAAGTAAAATAAGAACTTTTTTTAAGCCTTAAGCTAAAAAATACTTTGTACCAAGCACACTCTGAATCATTGAGACATGCATCACATGACTTTGTTTATTTGGTTGATATAACCGTCTGTTAATGTTGAGAAACTCATTTTCAACACTGATTAACATAAATCTGTTCATGATGTCCGGATATTTCCCTGTTTTCCTTTTTCTGAAGGAAATTGGCTGAAATTAATGTGTTTAATAATATACTGGATAGCTATGACGGATATATAGTTTTGTTTCTTTTGAAAATGGGGTTATGTTATGCTGTTCAGATTTTTTTTTTTTTTTTTCAACTTTGTGTTTCATCTTGCTCCAGATACGATGGATCCAGAAGATTTGAATTATGTGGCTGATATGATGCGAAAGCAAAGGTCAGCTCCTATAAGTGAATTTGATATATCACACGATAGCAGCACCGAAACATGGCATGTGGTGGGATCAGGTTTGCAGCGTTTTGTCCAGATGACCAATTGGAGGTATAAAATTTTACTCTTTTATATTAGTTTTATTCCATCCTTTTATTGCCCACTATCCCTAGGTTTGGTGTTAGTTGAAAAAGAACCCAACTAATTTTTTCGAAAATCACGAATTTGTGTGGTGGAACTTTTGCTTTGTCAAGATCCGTTATTTTTTTTTTTTATTTATTTATTTATTTTTTTTCACAAGCTTGTATTTTTTATAGGTTGGTCCTTTTTCATATTGTAACGAAGCCAAAACACTGGGCTGGTTTTTGTAATTATTTCTAAATTTTGTGGAAATATCATGTTTAAAGCGACGTCCGCATTTCGTTCATGACAAGTATAACTGGAGTATCATGTATTTTACTTCTTATTTGATTGAGCATTTTATATTTCATTCTCAAATTTTGCTTCTTTATATTTTTTTTTTTTGGAACAAGGTACAAAGATTCTGAGCGAAGGTTTCAACATGTTCTGGAGGCATGTGGCATCAATAAATCACTCATGAAGCTAGGCGTAAAGGAAGGCGACACTGTCATTGTTGGAGGGGTATGCTCACACTTTTCTGCATCTTATTATTGAACTCTCGTCACATTCTTCTATAATTAACTATGATGTCCATATATGATATATTTCAATTACTAATCATTTCTTTTATATAGTTGATAAATTCTTTCAATGGCTTCTCTTTCTCAAAACATTGTGTTATGAACTTTTACAATCAATACATGACGACCTTCTTTTATCATGATATCATAGGGATCCGATGAAGACGATTTTGATCTTTTTTCACCCTTTGTTTTTTTGGCATAGACCTCTGTTTTATGAGATATTTGAGCTCTCACTCATGCACATTTTGGTTTGTTTTTAGATGGAGCTGGTTTGGCACGATGCGCTAGACAATATAGCCCCTTTGGGTAGGCAGAAATGGGCAGCAGAGTCATTTGAATGATTATTTATTCAGACCGTCTCTCAAATCAGTTGATCAATATGGTTATGATAATGTGAGGTATGACTTCCTAATATGGTGAATTTAGTACAGGTCGGGCCGTAATTCATCTATGGTCCACTTAATTTGTTATTACTTTGTAGAGGTCATTGATTTAGGTCGTCTAAAAACTTCAATCATGCTTTTCCATTTCATGGAATTAACCAAGTTAACCCCTTTTCCACTTCATGTGGAGCAAAGCCAGGCTTGGTGTAGGGCCAGCGGGGCGACCACTCATGCTCCTACTACCCAAAGGCCCTAACCCATTATTAATCAATATGTAAAAGAAATATTTGTGTAAAAACATAATTATTTAATTTGAATTTTCTTTTTTCTTTTTTCAAACCAAGATGAAGACATTTTACTTATCCACCAAATTCTCATGATGAATCTAATCAATCCTCGTTATTATTAAAACAAATTATTTTTTAAATATTTTTTCTTATTCTTTTCACTCGATCACTTTATTTTCTCTATTTTTCTTGATTGAATACAAAAAAAGTATGATTATATGTGCTCGCAATTCAATCAAGTTAATGATAGCCGATAACAGAGTCAAATGGAGTTACTTAAAATCGTTTCAAGATGAGTTTAATTTATCACTGTTATTCAACTCTACTAAAAGTATTATTACTTTTATTAATACTAGGAAGACGCACGTGGTAACGCACGTGATATTATTGGTTTTTTTACTTAATTTTTTTTATTATTATATTTAATTTAATAATGTAATGTAATTTGTTTTCATTTTTAACAAAAAATTGTGTATTTTATGATAAAATATAATTTTTAATACTATTAACAGAATTCTATGACAATTAAAATTAAATAAAAAATATTGGTTAGGAAATCTAAAATAAAATTATTTTTTTTTGTGAAATTGTAAATGCTAAAGAAATCTATGTCGTCCTTGATTTTGTTATTTAGTGATATCATCCTTATGCTTAAAATAATGATCATTATTATTGTCAAAATAATATTTTTTTAATGTCTTCCTTTTACGTCTTACTATTTGAAAAATAACTCGAATTTACTATAACTATAATTTGTAATTATCATTTGCTTATTGTTGATTGGAAGCTAGCACTATGGTTGAATGTTTCGTTCTCTATTATTTTGATTATAACTGTTGCAAATTCAATTATATTTGCATGTGTAATATTTTGTAATATTTAGATATATATTTTGTCTCTGCATATAATGATATAAAAGATATAAATATTTGAAAAAATCTTTAAAGTCAAAATTATTTAATTACTTGAAAATTATTAGGAACAAAACTTATTTGATTGATTAAAGGTTCCTATCTATCTATATATATTATTGTAACATTGGTTGATTGAAGGTACCTAATACCTATCTATATATAGTGTCCAAAATAAATTATTGTTACATCTCATAATATTGTCATGCATGCCTTATCATTTTCGTTCATGGATTTTTAAGACTATCCAAAATGTGAAAAATTAATAATTCTACATGCATGCTCACTAAATTGTACCTCTTTAATTTATTTAATACTATAACAAAAAATATCTATAGTAAAATTTAATATTTGAAAATTAGAAATGATACTTTCATTGGTGCATTATATATTTTACACTTATAAAATAAAACTTGTTTTACTTATAAAACCTTAAAATAATATTCTCTCTTACATTCAAAAATTACATTTTCCATAAATTTTATTCAATTTTTTATTTCTAATTTATATATTGTTTACATAATCTTAACGCCTTTATGTCAACTAAAAGAAATAAAATTATTGAATTGGTAAAATAAAATAAATAATCTTAAGATAATAGATAAAAAAAAGTAGAATGAAAAAATATTTATTGAAAAAATGATTGTAACTATTAATATTTGTAACTCTCTAAGAGTTGTAACAAAATGACATTAGTAACCTTAGAAATTAATTATAGGTATGGAATTTTCGGCAATTCAATCTTTTCAAGAAGCAACTTTCCCTTATAAGATAGTTATTTCAAAATTGAACTTCAATCCCTTTTAATTATTCTAAGGATTTAAAATCCCATAGTAAAAAAAATGAGTTAAATTTATTTTGCTTAATTTAATTTGATTTAACTAAAAAAAAAGTAGATTGTATATTTCATAAAAGTTATATTTTTACTAATAAAAAATTTATTATTATCGTAGAAACTTATTACAAATGATATCTACTACTCCAGTGTGTTTTTACTAAATTTTGAAAATGACAACATTCACGACCATAATTAATATTAAAAATATATCTTATATTAGAGTTGATAATAAAGATTTGTAACTCATTTTCTCACTTTTAGTTTAAAGACTAATACATTCTCAACGTTGAAAATAGACTATATTACAACTATTTATCACATATCAAATAATCATATATATGGCATTAAATTGGAATTATTAACTTTTACTGAAATGATAGAAGGCCCTAAATTATGGTTTTCATGTATTATATAATAAATTAATCTTCATTTTACAGTATAAATGTTCTTAGTATGTGTTACATAAATTAATCTAGCATTTATTTTAATTGAAATATATATAAAAATAAATGAAATAACCAAAATCAATTTTAAATATGAATTTCAATATACGTGTACTTATTAGAAAATATAGTTACAATTAAAATCTATTAAATAAAAATAAATAATATATCATTTTTTTGTGCCTAACTCCATCAACATAATTTTAAATAAGAACCAAGCAGTGCTATACATTTTCAGTCTTAAAAATGTCAAACCGAAAACCCAAAAAAGGGTGCAAGAGAAAGAGCATAAAACTTACGAAATTGAAGAAATCACTGCTTGGTTCTTGTGAAATCATAAGATGAGATTTTGCAACTTTAGTTCGGAGATAAATCACTTTCTTGCGGTCGCGTAGTATGAAGAAATCCGTGCTGATTTTGTTTTAATTTTTGAAAATGATAGTTGCCCACATTTAATTAAGAATTAATGCATAATGACATTGCGAAATATATGGTATGCATATAATTGATTAATGTATCGGATTCTTGTAGCTTGTGCTATTTTTGTTGGGTCTTGCCAATTTTTTGTTGTTTTCTTGTCAGATATAACTTCATTCATCTTTTTATTTGTTGTTATTTCTTTTTTTCATTTGATGGTCCTAGAAAAAGCTTTTGTTGGGATTTTTGACTGTGAAAGGTGCATAAATATTTTTTCTATTTGATAATAATAAATAGATAAATTTATTTGATATTTGATAAATAAATTTAATTGATAAATATATTTATTTTATATTTGAAACAATTTTAGTTGTTTATATTATAAGGAGTAAATGTATTATTATTTGAAACAATAAACAATTTTAGTTGTTTATATTATAAAGAGTAAATGTATTATTATTTGAAACAATTTATTTGTTTATATTATTTATTATTAACAAAGTAACAGTATAAAATTACTTGTGGAGGAGTAAACGTAACGTATTTACTTGTGGATGAGTAAATGTTATTAAAATTATGAAATTACATTTATGTACTTAAAAGCTAGATTTGTAGAGGGTAATATGGGCATTTTAATTTTTTCAAGAAACAACTCATACTTTTAAGGGAGTTATAGATAGATAGATTATAGATAATGAATAATCTAACTTTTATACAACTTGAATATTGTATTAATAATAAACATAAAAGTATTACCAAATTAAAAAAAATACAAATTTTAAATCTTTAACATAAATCTTATATACCGCATAAATTGTTCTTTTAAGAAAATTCTATACATACTATATTTATATATAAAAAATAATTGTACATTTAAATTATTTTATCTAATAATTTTCCACGTATAATTAAATGGTTATATGGTATTATTTTATTATAAAATATTTGGTTATTATAAATATCACAATCACTTATTACACATAATAAGAATTTATTTTTTTTATTTTTTATTTCTTTGCACAAATATGCACGAAAAATAAAGAATCATTGCATCTCAATCACTTAATAGAATAACATAAAATTTTATGTATTCTACAACAATTAAAAATTTAATTAAAACTAACGTTATTTTACATTATTAAAATGGCTAAGAAAAAGTAGGTAGGATTATTCGTAATATATTAATTAATTAATTAATAATGGAATCTCTACAAATGAAGACAAAATATTTGGTGCGGTTATGTTTATTTTTATAAATTTATTTCCAAAGACAAATTCGAAATCTATGTATTTCTTTACTTCTAATAATTGCCTTAAAAATCTGTTTCAGTGTACAAATTGAAATAGTTGAAAGTAAGCATGAGTAATTTTAAATTCAAATGTTAAATAAATGTAAAACCAGAAGAAAGAACATATATAGTTACAACATTGTAACGGTTACATAAAAAAATATAAGTTTACTTACCAAATTAACAAAGAGCGCAATTATATTAATTTTTAAGACATAACCATTACAACTTCTATTAAATACAAGAATATTAATTACAAACTTAGAGATGTAAACACAAATAAAATGATATAGGTTGAACATACTAAAAATAACTATAAAAATGAGCGGGAAAAAGTAGACTACTGCATTAATGTGATTGCCTATATATATAAAACTAAGTCTGGTGTGAGAACCAACCATATTTGATGCTATTTTTAATTGTGTATGATGCTATTTTTAATATTGCATGGTGCTATCATTTTCACAAATGCTAATAAAAATTTTATTGCTATTTTTAATAAAATACATCCTAGTTAAAAATAACACTAAAACATAATCAATCATAGCACTACATACAATTAAAAATAGTGGTTCTCACGGTTCTGGTTATTAAATAGCGGCCATGGCTGCGCCATGGCGGTATGGCGTGGTGGATTTTAGCCTGGCCGCTATGTTATGACCGCCTTGTGGCGGGTTTACAATGGCGGCGCCATTGCGGCCGCCATGCATGGCGGTGTGGCGGTGATGGCGTGAAATTAAGGTTTCTGTCCAGATTCAGACCTAAAAAGAAAG